TACTTGTATGACAAGAGTGTGTATGTGTGTGTGTGTGTGTGTGTGTGTGTGTGTGTGTGTGTGTGTGTGTGTGTGTGTGTGTGTGTGTGTGTGTGTGTTTATGAATGTACTTAAGCTTGAGTGTGTGTATGTGTATGTGTAAGTTTGTGTGTGTGTATGTGTACGTATGTGTTTGTGTGTGTTTTCCTGGTCCAGCCTGTGGAGCTCGCTACTCTGGCTGGCCGGCCCTGGACTGAGGCCAAATTCTCTGGTGGTCAGTGTGTGCTGTTGTGTGCTTGTGTGTTTGTTTGCTTGTTGTGTGTTTGTTTGCTTGTTGTGTGTTATGTTTATGTGTGCTTTTGAATTTGTATGAGTATGTGTGCTTGTTTTTGTGAATGTGTTTGTTGTTTCGTGTGTGTGTGTTGTTGTTTTTTTGTGAATGTGTGTGTGTGTGTGTTTTGTCATCAATTTTATTTAGTAGAGCTGTTATTATTATTATCATTATTATTGTTATTATTATTGTTGTTGTTACTGGATGGTTCATTCACTGTGTTTGCAGGTCGTAAAAGGGTGCCAGTGGAGCATCTTTCTTTTCTTAATTCCCTCTCTCTATTATTTCTGTCTGTTAGTCTTACTTTTCCCCTTTCACTAAACCACAGTTATTGTGTCACAATATCCTTCCTTTTTCTCAAACAAACAAATCACTGCCGTATTCTTTCAGAGCCGTCCAACAGCTCGACGACGTCTTTGTCTCTGGTGGGCAAGGTATCTGTGCAACTACAGAGCACGCACAGCTTGAAAGGCGCACGCTCGCCCAAGACAATAGAAGCTTTCTCGAGATTCTTTTCTGTAAGTTGAACCGGGGAGTTTTTACTTGATTTGTCAAATTTCAGGTTCTATTTGTTGGGTTTTTTTTGTTCATTAAAAAAAAATTCTTATAGTGTAGTAGTGACATTGTCAGTCGTTTTGGTGAAAAACACTCTGCCTTTTTAGGTGAATAAGATTGCTTTAGTAATACTCATGGTATGATCATAATTGCCATAGTTTTTATCACAAAACAATATCAATATTAACAATAGCAGTAACATGTATGGCTCAACAACAACCACCAGCACCACCACACAGAACAATAAACCACCACACAACAACAGCAACAACCACCACGACAAGACAACATCACAACAATAACAACAACCACCTCACAACAATAACAATACACAACAACAACCACCAGCGTACAGCAATAACAACAACCACAACGCAATAACAACTACAACAACCACCACCACATATCAACAACAACCACCACACAGCAATAACGACAACACAACAATAACAACAACCACCACACTACAATAACGACAGTAACAACCGCCTTCACAAAACAACACCACAACAACCGCCACCACAGATCAACAACACTACAATAATGACAACCTCCACCACTACAACAACCAGCACTGCCCAACATCAACACTACAACAACAGTATGTCAACTCTCATCATCAACTACATCCACATCATCACCCACACTCATCCCCGGTGTGCTCCCCCAGCACCCATGTGGCACCAACAACCTGTGGGACCTGGTGGGTGCGGTGGGAGGCAGCGATACCATGATGCTCTCCCCTGCCTACCCGCACGGCATCGTGCACCGCAAACACATAACGCAGTTCAAAGGGGTGAGTGGAAGAAGGTGTGCGTGTCTGTTTGTGCTTGTGCTTTTTGTCCGATGATGGATGTAAGTGAGTACATATATCCATAATCTGACAAAGAACTCATACACAAAAAGATATTTTATGCGCATGAGGAGTAAAAATGGTTAGCGGGGGCTCTGATGTGGCTTGTTCCTTCTTTCCAAAGATTAGAGGTGTTACAGGAAGTAACAAAGGAACAAAAAACGAAGAAGAAAAACAAGAAGAAGAGATAAGGAGGATAGATGTTTGAAAGGAAAGAAGGAACAAACCACACTAGAGCACCCACCAAAAACTCACTCTCTCTGCATGTAAAAATTATTTTTGGACATAATGTGTCCCAGTCTAGTGGTTGGGGGAGTCAGCCTGAGCTGTCAGTTCAGTTGAATGAAGTTATGTTCAATTCTCAACTTCACCTAGATATATCTTAACTCCTACAAGTCATGAGCCTAATGTCTATGTGTGGCCGCAAGTTTAGTTTGAAATACAATGAATATAAAGGTTAGAGTTTTCAAGATAAAAAGATAGGCTTCGAAACCACAAGCATGTCACAACCTCAGTGCATTCTTGTCATATCTCCATTTTAATAGCTGTGAAAACAGTTCATAATAAAGAGTGAGCTTAACAAGAAGTCACATTTTCACTGTTAAAAAAATGGAGTACAACAAGAAAGCACTGAGGTCGTGATGTGTTACCCACCAAAGTTTTAACAAAAGAATGGAGTTTTGATGTATACGAGGATAATGTTGTAGTCCAAGCAACAGATAAATCTATGATATATGAGGGGAAAAAAATGAAAGCAAGTTTAATGCTGGATCTAGCCAACAGCTGTACTCTGGCCAGATTTATATAATGGAGTAAAAAGTGGTTGTGTGCTTGATTTATCAGATGGAGTGATAAATTGTTGTATACCTAATTTATAAAATGGCTTAAGAAATGGATGTATACTTCATCTATAAAATGGAGTATTTAATAGTTGTATACTTGATATGTGTCATGACGTGGTGGAATCAAGCGCTCGTCAATTTTTAGGCACGTGGAGTTACTGGTATCATCTGAAAACTTATCCGTTTGCCTTGTTTTCAATGAAAGAAAATACCCGTCCATCTTGACTATTCTAATAGTCAATATCTGCGATTGAAGAAAATGAGGTCGACTGGTTTCAGTGGTGAAATTATCGACTAAATGGCTGCCAAAGTTTGATTAATCCAATAGCTAAAAGAGTCCTTGAAAATGAAAAAAATGACATATTTTGTGCCTTTAATCGACATTTTTCAGCAAGTTCCAAATGGAAATGTGTTTTTATATTGATGGAAAAGAGGTTGCGTGAAAAAACTAAAATTTGATACAAATTTTGTTGGTAGAAAAATGCCTGGTACTCTGATTTCGTTAATTTGATGAGCGTGTGATTCTCACATGTATATTAAGAATTGAGAAATAGATGGTTGTGTGTTTGATTTATGACATGGAGTAAGAAATGGTTACACTATGTGTGATTTATACAATGGAGTAATAAATATGAGCTTTGTGTCTGATGACGTCTAGTCCGAGGCTCAGCAGCAAGAGATGATCAAGATGTCCAAGTTTGGCGCGGGGATCGGTGCGCCGGGCAAGGAGGAGAGGTTGATGGGAGCGGCTGCGACTCACATACGACTGGGGAACGTACAGAGGTACTGTGAGCTGATGGTGGAGGTGGGAAAGGTAAGCTTATTCTATTTGTGTGTGTTTGTTAGTTTGTGTATGTGTGTGTGTGTGTGTGACGGCTGTTAAAATCCGACTGAAAGTGGTACTTTAGTTGGTGGCCGGGCCCCGGTCTGACCTCCCGCGTGAAGGTAATAAATCAGTGTCAGTGTGCCACTCCCCTGCTTAACAACCGTGGCGATAGCGATGCCCGCCGCCATGCCTGCGTAACTCGGTTCTGGTAATTTTCGTAGCACTTTCCCTCGTTTTTTTAAATCATTTCATTTTAAAGATCATCTTAATACTAACAAGATGATCCCACTTTCGCTCCGGAAATCTCACTGGTGTTATAGCAGTTACGCATTTTGCAGTACAAGTGTTTTGTTCATCTAATGTTGCATTTTAAATTATATTCCATTTTGGAGTTTATTATTTCTAAAGCCAAACTCGGATTTTCACTCAGATTTCTCTGCTTCACTTGAGACAGCAATACTTGAACAGTGTGAGCAAGTGTTATTTGTGGGAAGCGAATGTTTGATTTTATATGATTTTTTTAAAAAGGGTACCCCCTACCCGGTGATTCACTCGCACGTGATCTTTCATTTTTCTTCTTAAATATAGCGATATTTTTCCAACACTTCTCATCGATTTTTTGGAATATTTTAGCCCAGTTAAGAAATGGAGAAACATACAGAGGATTCGCTTTTTTTAAAAGCTGCACGAACGTTTCAGAACTTGTGGTGGCAGAACACTGTCAGTCAAGCAGAAGGCACAGAAAAGGCGACCCCCTGCAGTGTTCTAAATTTGCGTCGGACACTCTGTTTGCCTTAGGTGTTAGCATTACAATGGACTCACAGACAGTACATTAAAAAACCATCTGTAAAGCTTGCGTGGACAAGATAAGACATATGGAGTTGTGGGGAGGAACTAAATGGGGAGGTTAGACATTTAGAAGGTTGCGTGGTACTTTCTGACTCTGAAGAGGAGAAAATTAACTTTCAAATACAACAGACGAAGAAAGAAGACAGGTTGTCAGAGTTAGAGCACGAACCCCCTAACCCAAGGACTGGCCCTATCTGTTCTCATTTAGACATACTTGACTCACACAACATCACACCGCAGGCATATCACGGCCGCTCTTTCATGGGCAATCACTGCCACAAATACATCATGAGTCGCATTTATAAAGACGTCACTGCATTTATTATAGAAGAAACAGTAGAAAACACCCACAACCAAAACATAAATGACACAGCCTACACTCTCATAGAAAAATTAAATCATTTAAACAATGCGTTTCGGGACGTTCACATTCACATCTCGCACGGCCAACCAGTGTCAAAAGACAGACTACCACACATTGAAACATGCATCAAAACTTACATGTCATTATACAGGAGACACTTTAGTGAAAAGGTACTTCCCAAACACCACATTCTAGAAAACCACTGCAGCCCGTGGATACAAGCATATGGGTTTGGTTTGGCTCTACATGGGGAACAGGGTGGTGAACGTATCCATGCTTCTGTGGCAAAGCTAGAGAGAAGAGGAGCTGGGATACGTAATATCGAACAGCAGCTGAAAGTTGTCATGCAATCTTACCCCGTCATGTCAGATCCAAAACTATTATCCAACGTGCCTCCGACAAAGGGGAAAAGGTGATACTGCAATCAACTCTTCACTTCTCCCAAACCGTGGATTTCCCTCAAAAACAGCAAAGTGAGTTTTGATATTTGACCATTTCTGGTGTATTTTATGTGAAATTGAAGGGTTGATTAAGTTTTGTTTGATTGGACTTTAGATTTTAAAATATTCACCCCAATTGGCAGTGGTAAAATATGAGCCATTTTTGGAACGCTATATATTATATGTTTATCATTATTTCATACAATTTTGCATCTTTTTCAGTAGGTACAGAAGTTCCCCCTTGTTCCAAACAGGCAAAATAAAATGACAATAAAGTCACCGATTGACGTATTTTGCGAGTTTAATTGTCCTAAAAATTAAATGAACAATGCTGATAGCAGGACGCGGGGAATTCCCCTGGCCACAAGTTCATGTACCGGTGACCAGGGTCAGATTACAAGATGCGGCGCGCTGGCTGCCCATGAACTAAAGTACCGCTTTCTAACAGCCGTGGTGTGTGTGTGTGTATGAGATAGAAAAGAGAGAGAGAGAGCAGAGAGATACAGTGAGTGGGAGAGACAGTGAGAAAGAGAAGTGTCACTTGATTCTCTCTTCCCTTTTTATCCAGCTTTTTTTGCCTAGTAAGTCATAAGAAACCTCTCACTATTCCTTCTTAACCAACTCACAAACTACAATACAGTTTTCCTCACTGTCTGCTACATGCACCATCTATTTATGTCCCCATGTGATTTTGCTTCCCCTCACTAGTGGATGGTGGTAGGAGGGCACCACTGGTAGATTCTACTTCTTATCTTTCCCTTTATTGTTTTTCCTGTCTGCCTGTCCGTCTTTTTCCTTGGATTAAATCTTAGGCAGTTAGAAAGAAATATTGGCCCAACCCTAGGCAGAAAGACCCAAAACTCAATGTGGGCCCTGAAGGACCTGCGAAAAAAACACCCTTCGTACTAGAAACTGGGATGTCTATTTAAAGATGAGCAAGAAGAAGACGAATGACTGTTTTTTTCCTAATCGTGTTTCTCTTTACTCCAACAAACAAACAACCACCTCCCGTGGCAGTTGTGTCTTTAGGCCATTCCCAAAGGGGGACATTTCTCGAAGAAGCTCAGTAGAATTGTAAATGGGCTGATTCATCATGTCACGCTCATAACTGTGCCTGATCTGCAGCAGGGAACTGTTGCTTTTTCTTTCCTAATACTTACTATTGTCATTTTCCTCTACTTCTTTTGTATGTTTGTCACTCTCTTGTGACCTGCTATTTCCGGGGTGCCTTGATAGTCGAAGCAGACCTTGTGCTGTTGAAGCCAGAGAGGTGAGCAGAGTAAGTCTGATTCCCTGTAAGGACTTTTCTGTTGACACCCACCCCTTGGCGCTCATATGACCTTATGCAGTTGTGAGCGCCGTAAAACCCTCTACTAAATAAAAATAAAATAAACAAACAACCTACAACTAACATCCACACTCTGTGCTGTGCCGACAGTGGGAACGAGCGCTGGCCGTGGCCCCAGCAGTATCCATGAAGTACTGGCAACAGCTCAACCAGAGGTGAGAAACTACACAGTTATACTGCCGTCATTTTTTAAAATGCAGTATATGAAGTTTTTTTTACAATTTTATAGGAGAGCCAAAAAATGAAAAGTTGTTACCAATAAAGCAACATTTACTTTGGAGATATGAAGGAAGTTATTATCAAAATTGTATTCCTACTAATATGGACTTATTGTGATATTTCCAAAGAGTTTGTTTTCTTGGTATCAATTTTCAGGTTTTTGGTCCTCCTGTAAAATTGTAAATATTTAGTATAAAAATGATGGCAGGATAGGTTAATTAGTGTTTTCTTCTTACAGTTTTTTGAAGGTTTTATTTTGGTATTGTTTTAGATATTGATAGATAAGTGTGTAGCGATGTTGTGGAATTGTGAACTCATATATTTTTGGGCATGTGGAGTTAATGGACAGCTCCCAGTTAAATGTGGTATTAATTGAAAAAATCAGCTTTTACGCAGAATGGAAATTGTAGGGATATCCAATTTTAAAAGTTGGTTTTGTTGACTGTTGATTTATTAAATTGATTTCCCTTTCAACTAACAGCAATAAAAAAAGCAATAGTCAAACAGAAACGAGGTTATGACAGGGTGTACAACATCTGCAATAACAGTTTTTTTCCCTCTGGGATTTTTCTTAAAAAAAAAAAAATAGTTTTAGTAACAGTTTTACAGCACATGCGACACAAATTCATCGTACAAGTGCCCTTCTCACTGGGTTCTAATGTTTTCTTCTTTTTTTCTTTTTAAATTTTAGTTGTAAAAATTTTACTGACCATATAAGTGCTATTCTGTGAGTGTGTGTGTGTCTGGTGGGGGTTTGTTTGTTGAATGTAGTAAGAGTTTTACAGAACTTGCAACACAAATAAGTCATTTTAGTGCCATTCTCTTTGCGCTTATTTTTTTGTTTTAGGTGTAGTTAGAGTTTTACAGCTCTTGCACCACAGATAGGTCTTATAAATGCCGTTCTCTGGGTGTGCCCAGGTACTCCACGGCCCTGCTGCGTGAAGACAGCGACGACGCGGTGCCTTTCTGTGTGGCCGCCGGGGATGTGCCAGGCTTGGCCTCCTTCTTCACGGCGCGCGGTCAGCTCAATGACGCTGTGCTGGTCACTCAGGCGGCCTGCGAGGGCTCCATCTCTGCCCCGAAGGTCAAAGGTGACTCCAAGGAGCGGAGACATCAGAGGAACAACAGCAGTGGAGCCGTGTTTGACAGGTGGGGGGAGGCAGGGTTGTTTTTTATTGTGTTGGGGAGATAGTGATGAGGGTGTTTTGTGTGTGTGTGTTGTGTATGTTTGTGTGTTGTGTGTGCGTGTGTGTGTGCGTGTGCGTGTGTATGACAGACGGGGGAGGGGCAGTTGGATGCTACTGTCTCGATACTGTGAGGCCTTTTGGTTTTTTTTACTTGGGGGTTGGGGGCTTTTACGTGTGTCTAGAAAAGTGTTCAAATGAGCACAATTGATATTTGTGTCTGTACGATGGTATGTGTGAATGTGCCTGATTTAGAAACGGAAAGGAAGAGAGAGAGGGAGAGAGAGAGAGAGAGAGAGAGAGAGAGAGAGAGAGAGAGAGAGATGAGAGAGAGAGAGAGAAACAGATAGATAAGTGTAGTGATACATAATAACTTATG